TGTCAACACTGGTTCTCCACTTGTGAGGTAACGCCCCTCTCTTCATATGTCAATATATAATGCCTGCATCTGTAATTTTCACTCCATGCATCTGAAGAAGTGTTTTTTACCCATGAAAGCTTATGCCCAAATAAATCTGTTAGTCTTTAAGGTGCCACCGGACTCCTTGTTGTTTTTGTGGATACAGACTAACACAGCTTTCCCCTGATACTTGATGCATGGAATGGGGGTGCCAAAGGCCACCATGGCAAAAAAAGGTGCTAATAAATGGCAAGCCTGTTGCAAATATCCAGACCAATTAACACTGTAGTCAATTGGACAGCACTGGTTCTAGGTAAAACATTTCTATTACAGGAAACGTATGAACAGGGTTGCTATTAAGCAGAATCTACTGCATAAGGATTTTACAGAGTTGTGGGCTTGATTTGGGGGTTTGTTTTTTGCCACCAACATAATTTTGAATAAATATTTCTCATTCATTAGCTCTACTGAAACTTACCCCCTTGGCCAACCACAGTAAAACAGAAATGATGTAATGGGATCTGAATTTCAAATATTAACGTTTATTGTGTTTTTAATTTAAGACAACTAAATATTTATCAGTTGCAAGGTAACATAAGCTCCAGAGGGAAATCTGTACAAGTTACATGTATATGAATTTTATCATATGCATATACCCTGAAACACATTTATGTACCATGAATGAGGCTATAAGTGGTTCTGTAGGCCTACTGCATTTTCCACTGCATGCATCTGATGAAGTGGGTTTTAGCCCCTGAAAGCTTATGCCCAAATAAATTTGTTCATCTCTAAGGTGCCACAAGTACTCCTTGTTCTTTTTGCTGATACAGACTAACATGGCTACCACTCTGAAACCTTAGCAGCGACAAGAACTCAACAAGTTCATTGTCCATCCTCTGTCTGGGGCGGGAGGATACTGTTTTTAAATACTATATAAGGGCTATGATTATTTGTGGTTATTTGGACAACTCTAGAACATGTACATTGGCAACTTAATGTGGAAATCATTGAGTACCTGCTTAAGAAAAAGGTATCAAAACGGAATACTCACTTCTCTAAGAATAGCATTACCATCATTGGTCATCACAATTCCACCCATTGGATCCAGAAGCATCTACATTAGAGAAGAGAAACAGTATTTAGATTGATCTTTAAGATACACAGCATTTCTAATGCAAAGACTACAACAAAAGTTCTTACCTTCATCATAGCTCTTGGTCCCAAACATGTTCGGATAATGTCAGCAATGGTCTAAAATGAAAGACGAAAAATGAGATGATACAGGAGTTTTCAGAACTAATGTACGTTCTCTCCCCCACCACCCCCTTTTTTTTTCTTTTTTAAAGCAAAGCTCACGAGAAGGGGAAGAGAAAATATCAAGTGATAGGCTACTAAGCTGAATGTCCTAGTTTTTATACCAAAAAAATGACCTGTGTTAATATTTAGAGTGTGGGTGAGAGAAAAATTCAATCCTAGTCTGTACTGCCTCACTTCATTAACCTCTTACTACCAGACCTCTTTGCCACTAAGCATGAACTTTGTGTGTTAAAGCTCAGTGACAATATATTCTGACAGCATCAAGAGTTAAACATGAACAGGAAAGATCTGAAACTCCTATTTCTAATATAACTATAATAGTACTAGTTATGCAACATTTGATGTATATGTAGAAGGGAAAGCATATATAGAGATGGCACACACTTTAGTTTAAAGCCAGATATTGCCCTGGACAAAACTGTTGTCCTGCATGATTTAATACTATGATATTAATTGCTGAAAAATATAAGCAATCCTGAGGGTAGAAAGGCACTGCCCATAGATATCTAATACATAAACTGTCCCTTGTGAAAAGTAAACACCTTCCCCTGAAATATCCAGAATTCGCCAGTGTCAGGGGTAAGACAATGAATTAGGTGGACCCTTGGCTATGAAGGTTGCTTCTTTGTGCATCGTCCCATGAAATGTTTCAATACATACATGCAATTAGTCACTACTGAGGTAGTTACATAACAATATACTAGAGTTTGATGGTACAGAGCGCCTTTTATATACCAGTATAAAACTCTTTACAAAGAAATAGATAGGACTTAAATAGCCACACATTACTTAGACATCACACATGAGGTTACGAATTCCTAATCACACTGTGCATGTTGCAATAAGAATTAGGTGTGTGGTTTCTACTTTTGAACTGTATGTAAATAACACTGAAGAACTGAACTGATTCAGACTTTGTCTAATGTTTCCATTTTTGCCCTGCACTCTAAAATACGAGGCTACTCATTCTTACTTTAAATTGTCTTCCTTTAATCCCGAGTCCAGCAGTCAGGGTTTCATAACACCACATTTAGTGCTTCAAAATTCTAAATGCACTTGAATAATCCCTCCAAACTACACAGAAAATGCAGACCTAGTAATTAACATAAGCGACCCAATGATTTTGCAGTTCCTTGGATGCAGCAAGAGTAAGATTTAATTAGGCATGACAATACAGCTTAAAGGTTAAAACAACAGCTGCATCTATTCAGACATCAGACACAATATTTTAACAATCATCTTCTCAGACATCACCCCAAACTACTTGCTAAATAACGTGTCAAGGTTCAGACTTATGCAGTGTTCTGGATTGAAGTTTAACTTTTCTTTTACTTTTTTTTTTATTTACACTGTCATCACTAGACTAAAAAGTTGTTCTAGTCAATTGCACCTGTTATTTTAGCAGAGCAAGGGAGTGATCGGCATTTCTTCATTTGAGATGTGTAAAGAAATATCAACAAGCGCACTACAGGAAATCAAAGGACCTGCTAAAAATGTTCCAAGTTCATTATGCTGCATTTGCCCCCTTTTGATTTCTAGTTCACTAACATACTTGGTAGCATAAAACAGTACCTTAGCAGCACTGATGTTTCCAATCTGAACCTTCCTTCCAGATTCACGTTTTGTATTTTGACCTACGGCATGCAGAAAACAAAAAACAGCATCAGCATGAATATAACTGATCTTATGAGCTCTTAATGGGAAACCCAATGTTGAGGAGGCAATACGGACAACATATCAATGATGTAATCTTACTCATGTGCACATGAATTATGGCCAACTCTAAATGGAGCCATGCATTTAAATAAGAGAGTACCCAAGAGGTACAGCCACTAGAATAAAATTATGCCAACTTCCCCTCTTAATTTAAAAGAATATCAAATAGCAAAATTAAAGATTCCTAAGTTCTTCTCCATTACCTAAGTCTCATGAATAGAAAGTATGTTTCCAAATAAGGCAATATATAAGATGTCTTGACTTGTCACCAAAAGAGGGCCAATAGTACTCAACGTTCAAGTGAGTCAATATTCCTGAGAATCTACTATAAAATTGCTACATAGTAACTTTATGGTGCTCTGAAAAATTATCATTTTAAGAAGTTTTTCTTCAGCACTATAATAGGTACAACATTATAAATGTTAAGTCTCCATACTGCACCTCAATGACCCATAACCTGCCATACATAAAATAGTGTGTATTAACTATACCCATAACTGAGACTAACACCCACATTAGGTGATTTCCTGTCACAAGGGTCTGCCCCAAAGAAACCCCACCCATATTAAATGTGATGTCATTTCTTTATTATAAACCCAGTTTGGATAAGCAAGGTATCGTTTTGTGGAGAGGGGAAGAAACAAAAGTGGAGTGAAATAACGGGAAGGGAGGAGTGAAAACTCCTGCCCCCAATACTAGGAGGGACTCCAAAAACTGAAATAAACTCAATACAAGAGGGCTACAAAAGAGGATCCCCAAAGGGGATGAGAAGGGGGAACCCAAATAGGAAGAAATGCCAATGTAGAGGACTACGAAGAGTGTGACCCCAAGGTGGGAGAGGAATATACAGGGCACCTAATATAGGAGAGACCAAAATTGGAGAGCACCACCAAACTGACATGAGAAGCGAGGCTGTAAAACAAGAAGAAATGGGTGGGGAATACATAGGGGTAATACAAGACTGGGGGAGAAATTTGGGAGGTTACCCAAGAAACAGGAGGAACAATGGAGACCCAAAGGGGAAGGAATCCCAAAAGAGAGGGTGACCCCAATGAGAGCAGAACTGGGTAGGGAGGGGGCCCAATGTGTGTGTGGGGAGCTGTACGAAATCGGGGGGAGGGGGGGAAGAGCTGTACGAAATCGGAGCGGGGGGGGGGGGGGGAAGAGCTGTACGGAGGAGATGCCTCAGGAGAGAAGATGTAAGATGGGTATGGACACAAGGGGGGGGAGGAAGGAAATGGGGGGGACCCATGGAAAGCGGAAGGGGGGTTATGGGAGACCCATGGGGGTGGGGGGCCTGAGGGACCGATAGCAGGGACACGATGATAGGAAGGACCCATGCGGGGGGGGGGGGGCGGGGAACCCAGGGAGAAGGTGCAGAGGGGGGTTACGGGAGACCTCGGTGGGGGGAGGGGCGGGGGGTTCGGGAGGCCCCGGGGTGGGGGGAGGGGCGGGAGGTTTCGGGAGGCCCCGGGGTGGGGGACGCACTGTCGGGGACCCCAGCGGCGGGGCGGGGCCCCTCACACTCACTGAGCACGAGCACGGGGCGCTGGCCCATCATCCTGGCGGCGGCTCAGAGCAGAGGACCCGGCGCGGAACCTTCTGGAGACAAGAGAGACACACTCCGAACAGCGCCGCTGCACCGCGCCGCGCGACACCCTAGCCGGCGCGCCGCCGCCCCCGCCAATCGCCGCCCGAGCCGAACGCCCGGCACCCAATCGGGAAGCAAGGCGCCACGTATAGGACCCGCCCCGCACTTCACCACAAGCTCGGTTGAGAGGAGACTTCTCAGCGCGTGGGGGGCCTCGACTTGGAACTGCCACTATTGGGAGGGGACAGGGAATACTGCGCATGCGCCTCCAGAAGTCGGGAGACTGCGCCTGCGCGATTATTCGGACGAGGTGATTTCACATGCGCAGGGCTCGGGGGGAGGGGGGTGAGGTGATGCGCATGCGTACAAGCTCCGAGCAGCGGTTGGATGGACCCAGAGGGGGAGCTTGTCCTGTGGCCCTCCGGACTGCGTCCGTCGCGCTCGGGTTTCGGCCGCGCCGGCTGTAGAGGCGAGTGGGCAGGAGAGCAGAGCCCGTTAGGCAGCTGGCTCTTGCCGCGGTGGAGGGCCCCAGGAGTCGTCGTCCCTTCCACCGAGGCATGCTGGGAATTGTAGTCCTACCCGCGGGGCTCTCTCACACTGGGGCATCATGGGAATTGTAGTCTTGCTCCTGGACATGCTAGGAATTGTAGTCCTTCCTGGGCCACACTCTGTCGTCCTGCTCCCGAAGCATGATGGGAGCTGCAGGCCTTACGCGGGGGGGGGGTCTTCCTCTCACTGGTGTTTCATGGGAGTTGTAGTTTGTTAATGAGCCATGTTGGGCCATATGACTCAGCATCAGTGCTAGAGATGTCCTACCATGCACAACGTGGGGCCGAGATGCATATTATCTTTGCGGGCCAGTGCTGCGTTGGGTGCCACTCACTGACCACCCCACCCCCGTGCAGCCGGGACTTCTAGTGCAAAACCAGCCATTGCCCCGTAAGAACAAGTTCTTCACTTGTAAATGTGTTATCTTTCATGTTAACATTACTGTGAACCAGCCAACGCACATGTTGCCAGAGTCCGCTGTGGCTGGAAAGAGAACGTGCCAGAGGCCCTATATTGCTACAATCTAATGAAGATTCTCCTTCAGCATCAGAGCAAAGGGCCTGTGCATTTGGAGCAGGGGGTTTGAGCTCTAGCCACCTTGAGTATATGGTGGAAATCACCCAAAAAGCTGCTTCTGTAAAGTTCCGAGTGCTCACAGCTTCGTTATGATATAAAATCTCTTTGTACGTTCTAATTTTTCTTTCATTTTAACCACCACAGTTTAAAAAGAAAGAATATATGTCTCTGGCTAGCACACACGTCCGAGAAGAAAGTTGCATTCTAGTCTATGTCTTTCCAACCTCCTTCCTTTAAAATATTCCCCTAGATAACCTAGTGCTTTCCTTTCCATAGGCACAAGCTCTGCTCCTCAGATGGAGCCAGAAACAGATGCTCAGGAAGAAAAACAACACTGGAAAAGTATGTTCAATGCATTTCTACTTCAGACACAAGCCAACCTTTAAAGGTCAAATTGGAACTTTTGCAGTGAAATTGACATAAATGCTCCCCATGCCAAAACATAAGCTCTCTGGGGCAGGGTCCATCTTTTTGTTCTGTATTTGTACAGCTTCAGGCTCCATGGAGTCCTGGTCCATGAGTGAGCCTCCTGGGTTCTATTGCAATACAAATAATAAATAATTAATATGAGGTACTGATTGTACTACAACGCCATACAATATAATTCCTGCTATGAGTATATGTAATCTGCATGGCATTAGGGTTATACATAAGTGTTGCTGGCTGGTTTGAGGACACTGCTTTGAAGAAGTTAGGTGTCACATACTATTATATGTATACACACCACCACTTAAATGCAGCTAGCTCTGGGGTGGATGATGACAGACACATAGCACAACAGCAGAAGAGAAGGGGATAGTGTAGCAAATCTTTGCTTGTACAGACAGTACTGTGAGGGTCTGATTCTGAAGGGTGCTGAGCTCGGAAGGGAGTGGAGGGTGCTCAGTACCTTATTGGAACAGATCCTTAACTTTCATGAAAAGCAGATAGGAGAGTGTTGCCTAGTGACTAGAGCACTGGTCTAGGTCTGAGATGAGCTGGGTTCTGTTCCCAGCTCTGCCAGGCCTGCTGGGTGACCTTAGGCCAGTCACTTCCTCTCCCTGTACCTCAGTTTCTGTATCTGTACAATGGGGATAATATTACCCTCCTTTGTAAGTGCTTTGAGATCTACTGATTAAAAGCTCAAGATTAGAGCTAGGGATTATTATTCTTGTTTACCCTAAAGTGCCATTGGACCCCTCTGGCAGTATAAAGGGACCCTAAATCATAAATTAGTTATACTCACAGTAGCATCCCTTTGCACAGGCAGAGTAGTGTAAAGCAGTTTAGTGTCAATAAGAATCAGGCACTCAGTTTTGAAGGGCTCATTGCAAAGAAAAGATATCAGAGCAGCAGAAGAACTCTTCCTTCAGAGTCTTGTTACCCCCATCAGTATAGAAACTCACAGTAACAACAGTTGTTTCTTTTGCAGACACAGCGAGACGATCCACTCAAAGCCCACGTACGTATTTCCCCAATCTGAAATCCCCAATCTTTATACCTACTTTTACTGTAATGATTGTTATGTAAAGATTAGGCTCTTTTAACAATAGGACATCAAATAATCACAGTCAACCAAATTTGTTAACCCATGAGTGTTAGTCAAAGATTAATCTGCACAAATACAGAAAGATGAGAGTTAAATACTTTACCACTTCATCACGCTGGGGATACAACCAGCAGCATGGATTGTTCTGGAAGTATAATTCACTCCTGAGGCGTATATATACCTTTGGCTTTTACCGTGGTCCCCAAAATTAGTTTGTGTCATTCTTACACTAATATTTCCATTCCAATGCAATCTGAACTTGCTGTCCGAGGTTGTTGGAAATTTGAAACTGGTTTCTAGCAACAGTTATATCAGGTAGTTATTATTTTCACAAACCTCAGCAAAATACTACTTTCTCTGTGTGCACCAAGAACAAAAGCTTCCAGTTTTTAATATATTTCAGTATAGAGGTTGCTGGGAAAAATGGTTAACTTTAGCATAGGCATGGATTCGCTTAAAAATACATAATATATTGGCAAAAAGAAAAGGAGTACTTGTGGCACCTTAGAGACTGACAAATTTATTTGAGCATAAGCTTTCGTGAGCTACAGCTCACTTCATCGGATGCTGTAACTCACAAAAGCTTATGCTCAAATAAATTTATTAGTCTCTAAGGTGCCACAAGTACTCCTTTTCTTTTTGCGAATACAGACTAACATGGCTGCTACTCTGAAACCTGTCATAATATATTGGCTATATCATTTTGGTAACACGTCAGGTAGAGCACTCTGAGAATGGGTGATTTCTATTAGGGATCCCGGTTTGCCATTTAAACAGAAAACAACAACAACAAAAGGTGTGTATATATATAAAACTGTATTTTATCCATGGTATGTCCTAGACATTACGTGAGAGGCAGTATGATGTTGTGGCTACACGGTCATGAACTGCACGGTCAGAACTCCTGGGTTCCGATCCAGGCTCTGCTACCCACATGATTTGCCCATGGCCACACAGCAAGTCATCCTCTATGCTTCAATTTCCCCTTCTGTAAAATTAACAGGATTCCTCCCTCCATGGAGTTGGGGTAGGGATTAATTGGTTAGTGTCTACAAAGCAGCATTAACAACTAAAACCTGATTTTTCATCACCCTGCATCTTTTGTCATCATTTTCACCAGTGCAAAGCAGCTGTATAATGCTACCGGATCAGAATGGTGGTGTTTTGCACTAGTGTAAGTGACAAGGAATAGATCCATAATATGCTACATAGTAAGTCTGTGAGCCTAGTGGATGAGTGGATGGACTGGGACTCAGGGGAGCTGGGTTCGACTCCTGACTCTGCCCCCAACCTGCTGAGTGACCTTGGGCTTTGCCGCTCTGTGCCTCAGTTTCCACATCTGTGAAATAGGGATAATGATACTTATCTCCTTTGTAAAGTGCTTGGAGTCCTCTTGAAGAAAAATGCTATACAACAGCTAGGGATTATTATTCAATAGTGAAAAACATCCTTGTAATGCAAAGCCTTTTTTTGACAGGAGAGGATAACTTTGAAGGCCCTTCCTCTTCTTTTAAGAAGCTATGTCCTGCCAAACCCTCCCCCAGCTTTCTTGAGCTTCCATCTTCCCAACGGAGGCCCAGCCCAAGTCTGCCCTGTGCCCAGGCTGCAAGGATATGGAAAGGACAGAAAAAATTCAGTAAGTATTGGAACCACTCCAGCTTTGGGAAGGGAGTGTTCTTTAGCGGTAAGGAGTAGGGGGCTAGGAGTCAGGACTTCTGGAGTCTATCCTGGTTCTGGGCAGGAGCATGGGTTAGTGGTTAGAACAAGGCACTAGGAGCCCAGGACTCCTAGGATCTATTCCCAGGTCTGTGTGACCGTGGGCGAATCATTTCCCTGTTTGGTGCCTCAGTTTCCCCATTTGTAAAGTGGGGATAATACCCTGTGCACTGGGCTGTGGCAAAGCCCAGCGAGGTTCTGGGATGCAGGTCTCTGTAAACAGGCAACATTTCAATAGAATTAAGAATCACTTAGCATTTGAGGAAGGGGAAAACAAACCAGCGCTCTGCCCCTTTTTTCTCCAGCCCCTGATCATCAGCCACAGGAATGCTACGGCCTACTGGAGTGTATGCACAACAACATCCAGATCCAAACCCAGATCGCTCTGGCACAGTTGAGCATCCTGGAAGGCTTGCAGGAATCCATGAGCTTGCTTCTGGCTAGCAACGAAGAGAAGGGGAAGGAGCAGAGAGACCAGAAGGGCCTGCAAAGCTCAGCCTCCTCCCCCACCTAACATATCCATAGGTTTGGTGGCTAGCTTTGCTTCCCATAGTCTCATCCCTGTGGCTTCATCTCCTTTGCGTTCACTCTGGCACTGGCTATCAAGTGTATGGCGACAGGATTGGGATTTGTGTTACCATGACAACTGATACGGCTACGCTAGCGGTGCTGCTTGGAAGTAAAACTATTGTAAATACTTTCAGTGTGAGGTTTTCCTTCGAAGGCTGCACAGGGAAGGGACAGCAATCCGCTTAGGGAGAGATGCGTTGGGTCTGATCTGAGGTTACTCTGCCCATGCCCCTGGGGTTCAGGTGACTTGAAGCCCCTTTATGCGCCCCATGTTCTGGGGGCTTGCCAGACTCTCTGCTGTAAATTAGAACAGCCTCAGGGGCTACTCTCGTTTTTGCTCTGCCTCCCATGGCCCTTGCAGTATGTTCCAGCCAGGCCTCCTCCACTGGAGATGGGGAGCAGGGTGGATACAGAACCCTTATGCAAGCTCCATACCAGCTGGGGTGGCTCTGGTGCAGGGAGGATTCCCAGCGAGCTGATTCTCCTTATTTTAAGGTCCCTCTGAGCTGCCAGATCACAGGAGGAGAGGGAGGAAAGGTATGAACTTTGCCTGGCTTCCCATCTAACGCCTTCATAGCGGCTTTTTTATTTCTTTGCAACAAGATTAACACGAGTGACTTTTATCCAAGGGTCTCAAAGCTCTAGCAAATACTAATTACTGCATCCTCCCAGGTATTGCTGGTGAATATGCAAGTAGTACCATAAAGATGTGTGGAGTCTGGGAAGTCCTCCTGATAGCAGGCGATGAACAGACGTTCAGAAGGTGTGTGGCGTCTTCAGCCACACCGCAGCCACGCGGAGGGCTGTCCCTCAGACCCCAGGTATGGTCACTTGCTGCATACCTCCCCACCCCACCTCTGAAATGGTTGAGCTTGCACCAGAGGTAGCGTGGCAGCTCGAAGTCAAGCAGTCTCTCATCAGTCCTCATCATGACGAGGAAGGAGTTTCTTACAGATGGGGCAGCCCGTTCCCATTCTGCTCACTACACTGTGAAAGCATTTGCTGTAGAGATGATCGGTAGTCCAGACTGGTCTTCTGCTGATATGTTGGTGATGAGGCGCTTCCCATATGGTTTTGAAAAGTGGCAGTTGTGGCATCTCCTGGCTTTTGTCAAGGAGGTTCTTTGCTGCAATATAACACCTAGGTGGCAGGGTATTAGAGAGGAATGATAGCCACTTTGGAGGCGTTGGCCTGGTATTTTCATTATTTGATTCAGTTGTACACGAACTTTGTGTGAGAAGGGTTTAACCGCACAGCACAGTATTCGCCAAGCTGCACGATATTTGCGCAGCAGCTCCCCAAGCTGAGCCTGCAAGCTGATTTAGGAGGCCATTGTTCTTGTTTCAGAGTAGCAGCCGTGTTAGTCTGTATCCGCAAAAAGAACAGGAGGACTTGTGGCACCTTAGAGACCAACCCATTTATTTGAGCATAAAAATATGGAACGCTTCACGAATTTGCGTGTTGTGCATCCTGGGAGCAGGTTGAATCTGCATAATCCAGATACCGGTTACAGTGGTACTAGAACCATATCCCCCCAATACAATGGGTCGAAGTGACTTGTCCCAAGATCACAGTGAGTTACTGGCAGAGATGGGACTAGAACCCAAGAATCCTGATTCCCAGCTAAGCACAGCTTCCTACACTGAGGGCCAAATCCTGAGAGGTGCCAGGTACCTGTAATTTCCAATAACTCCCATGCTTCAAAGCGTGAGTCAACCTGTAACTCATGAAGATCAGAAGGAAACAATCCCTGGGGCCATCCCTTCATTGCAGGGTTTCTTGTATCTTCCAGCTGGGGCTGGCTACTACTGGAAAAAAGACACGGGGCTAGATGGACTCTCAGGGTGTGTTTACACTGGCACTTTACAGTGCTGCAACTTTCTCGCTCAGGGGTGTGTGAAAAAACAGCCCCCTGAGCGCAGCAAGTGCCTGTACAGACAAAGCGCTGGGAGCTGTGCTCCTCATGGAGGTGGCTGCGACGACATAAGCCACGTTAGCATTGCCAGCGTAGACTTTTTGATCCAGACTGTGAATTCCTCTGTTCCTAATCATTAGGGCAGACAGTCAGCAGGGATGAGGTTTTGGCCTAAACAGTTTCATTTATTTATTTTCCAAGAAAAAGTTGAACCTTTTCCCCCAGGAAGCACACTCTGTGGGAAAAAAATTAATTTAATTGAAAACCCAATTTTACATCAGAAACCAGTGTCGGGGAAAATTTTCAGCCAGCTCTGATCCTGAAAACACTTATGCATGTGCCAGGCGACTCATGGAAGTAAAATTAAGCATGCAAGAAAGAAAGATGGATGAGAATGAAAGAAAGAACAATGGATGATGGATGAATGGATGGATGAGAAAAAGATGGATGGACGAGAGAGAAAGAAAGAGATGAAAAAAGATGGATGGATGGATAACAAAGAGATTAAAAAAGATGGATGGATGAAAAAAGGATCCATGAGAGAGAGATGGGTGGCTGGATAAGAAAGAAAGATGGATCGATAAAAAAGGACAGATAAGAAGGAAGGAGAGATGGGTGGATGGATAAGAAAGGAGAGAGAGAGATGGGTGGATAGAGAAAGAAAGAAAGAGATGGGTGGATGGATGAGAGAGAGAGATGAGAGAGATGGATGGATGGATAAGAAAGAAAGAGATGGGTGGGTGGATGGATGGATGAGAGAGAGAGATGGGTGGCTGGATAAGAAAGAAAGATGGATCGATAAAAAAGGATGGATAAGAAAGAAGGAAAGATGGGTGGCTGGATAAGAAAGAAAGATGGATCGATAAAAAAGGATGGATAAGAAAGAAGGAGAGATGGGTGGCTGGATAAGAAAGAAAGATGGATCAATAAAAAAGGACGGATAAGAAAGGAGAGATGGGTGGATGGATGAGAGAGAGAGATGGGTGGCTGGATAAGAAAGAAAGACAGATCGATAAAAAAGGACGGATAAGAAAGGAGAGATGGGTGGATGGATGGATGAGAGAGAGAGAGAGAGAGATGGACGGATAAGAAAGAAAGAGATGGGTGGATGGATGGATGAGAGAGAGAGGAGAGATGGGTGAATGGATGAGAGAGAAGAGATGGGTGGCTGGATATGAAAGACGGATCGATAAAAAAGGATGGATAAGAAAGGAGAGATGGGTGGATGGATGAGAGAGAGAGATGGACGGATAAGAAAGAAAGAGATGGGTGGATGGATGGATGAGAGAGAGAGATGGACGGATAAGAAAGGAGAGATGGGTGGATGGATGGATGAGAGAGAGAGATGGACGGATAAGAAAGGAGAGATGGGTGGGTGGATGGATGAGAGAGAGAGATGGACGGATAAGAAAGGAGAGATGGGTGGATGGATGGATGAGAGAGATGGATGGACGGATAAGAAAGGAGAGATGGGTGGGTGGATGGATGAGAGATGGATGGACGGATAAGAAAGGAGAGATGGGTGGGTGGATGGATGAGAGAGAGATGGACGGATAAGAAAGGAGAGATGGGTGGATGGATGGATGAGAGAGATGGATGGACGGATAAGAAAGGAGAGATGGGTGGGTGGATGGATGAGAGATGGATGGACGGATAAGAAAGGAGAGATGGGTGGGTGGATGGATGAGAGAGAGAGGGACGGATAAGAAAGGAGGGATGGGTGGATGGATGGATGAGAGAGATGGACGGATAAGAAAGGAGGGATGGGTGGATGGATAAGAAAGGAGAGATGGGTGGGTGGGTGGATGGATGAGAGATGGATGGACGGATAAGAAAGGAGAGATGGGTGGGTGGATGGATGAGAGAGAGGGACGGATAAGAAAGGAGAGATGGGTGGGTGGGTGGATGGATGAGAGAGATGGACGGATAAGAAAGGAGGGATGGGTGGATGGATAAGAAAGGAGAGATGGGTGGGTGGGTGGATGGATGAGAGATGGATGGACGGATAAGAAAGGAGAGATGGGTGGGTGGATGGATGAGAGAGAGGGACGGATAAGAAAGGAGAGATGGGTGGATGGATGGATGAGAGAGATGGATGGAGGATAAGAAAGGGAGATGGGTGGGTGGATGGATGAGAGATGGATGGACGGATAAGAAAGGAGGGATGGGTGGATGGATGGATGAGAGAGAGATGGACGGATAAGAAAGGAGAGATGGGTGGATGGATGGATGAGAGAGATGGATGGACGGATAAGAAAGGAGAGATGGGTGGGTGGATGGATGAGAGAGAGGGACGGATAAGAAAGGAGGGATGGGTGGATGGATGGATGAGAGAGAGATGGACGGATAAGAAAGGAGGGATGGGTGGATGGATAAGAAAGGAGAGATGGGTGGGTGGATGGATGAGAGAGATGGACGGATAAGAAAGGAGAGATGGGTGGATGGATGGATGAGAGAGAGAGATGGACGGATAAGAAAGGAGGGATGGGTGGATGGATAAGAAAGGAGAGATGGGTGGGTGGGTGGATGAGAGAGAGATGGACGGATAAGAAAGGAGGGATGGGTGGATGGATAAGAAAGGAGAGATGGGTGGGTGGATGGATGAGAGAGAGGGACGGATAAGAAAGGAGAGATGGGTGGGTGGGTGGATGGATGAGAGAGAGATGGGTGGCTGGATAAGAAAGGAGAGATGGATGGGTGGATGGATGAGAGAGAGGGAGGATAAGAAAGGAGAGATGGGTGGGTGGGTGGATGGATGAGAGAGAGAGATGGGTGGCTGGATAAGAAAGAAAGACGGATCGATAAAAAAGGACGGATAAGGAGGAAGGAGAGATGGGTGGGTGGATGGATGAGAGAGAGGGACGGATAAGAAAGGAGAGATGGGTGGGTGGGTGGATGGATGAGAGAGAGATGGGTGGCTGGATAAGAAAGGAGAGATGGATGGGTGGATGGATGAGAGAGAGGGACGGATAAGAAAGGAGAGATGGGTGGGTGGGTGGATGGATGAGAGAGAGATGGGTGGCTGGATAAGAAAGAAAGACGGATGATAAAAAGGAGGATAAGGAGGAAGGAGAGATGGGTGGGTGGATGGATGAGAGAGAGGGACGGATAAGAAAGGAGAGATGGGTGGGTGGGTGGATGGATGAGAGAGAGATGGGTGGCTGGATAAGAAAGGAGAGATGGATGGGTGGATGGATGAGAGAGAGGGACGG